CCGAACGGAAGAGGACGGCAAGAACCGAACGGAAGAGGACGGCAAGAACCGAACGGAAGAGGACGGCAAGAACCGAACGGAAGAGGACGGCAAGAACCGAACGGAAGAGGACGGCAAGAACCGAACAGTCTAGGAGGGATGGATCAGTGGGAGAGAAGCGTGATGGAAGAAGGAATGAAGGCTTCGGAGGGAAGAGTGGATGGAAGAATCAATGCCCAGGAGAGAAGAATGGATTCTGTGAGGAGGTGGGCCAGCGAACAAAAAAGGGGGCTTGCAGTTTTTGATACAGCGGCAGAGGGGAGAGAGCGGCTTAAAGCAACGAAAGACATTGAAGACCATTCTCTCAGGGCCTGTGATTCTGGAAAAAAGGTGACCAGAATGCTGGAAGCTAATAGAATCCAGGAAGAAGGGAAGTTATTGGAGGAGGAATTGCGACCACCCAAGTCTCCAGACCTAAATTGGAGGACAGTAGCCAGTGGGTTCACTTCATATGATAACAAGATGATGCAGAGGAGCCAAGAGACCAAGCTTTTCGGTTCCAACCTTGAGGACAAGGTTGTTCTGCAGCGGGGTGTAATGTTAAGATCTAGATAGATTGGGTTGAGGACTGAGCGGTTAAGGGTGTGAGGGTGTCGGTTGTAAAGGGGGAGCGGGTCAGAGCTGCTATAAATAGAGCTCTTATAACTCTGTAGAGGGCATCGAGTATAGTTTGTAAAGTCGGGTCTTTAGCCTGTAGAGGGAGGTTATGCTCTCAACCAGGGAAGTTATGCTCCCAACCCATCCTTTGTAGAGCGACGATTCAACAGTGTAAATAAGAGAATTCTTTCTTTCATCTCTTTTATCTGCATCGAGTGAGTGTTATTGTTGGGTTCCAAACCCAGGTACCTAACACATCCCCAGTTCCCACATACCCTTACTCATGGCACACGATTATGCTACAAAAATGAAGGATGGGCTAAATTGAAGTGATGGACTGTGTATGTAAGAAAGGAGAAGCAAGAAGGGAATTGGAAAAAATGGAAAAAGGCCCACTGCAGAGAAAATTCCAGGGGGAGGAGTCATTGATTGTAAACAACAGACCAGCTGGTTCAGAAAACTGGTGGTATGAAATGGTTGTTTTGATTTCTTTTAATTTTTAATCCAACCTAAATATTTGCTTAGCTAAATAAGGTCTACTGCCAACATATAAAGGCCAAGTATGAATCGTTAGCTTTCCATTATAACTTTTTATCTTGCATGGCACACAATATGGTCATTTTAAGCTAATTCAAAATTACACCTAACTATAACTTTCTGGTTCTATGTTAGTTTATACTTGATATGCTATAATAGACATTAAATACGAACATTTCAACAACAAGTGGATGAACAAATGCCTTCAACCGTTTATGAGTAGTATGGTTTATAAACATAGATAAAGGGCAGGAATTTTGTAAGGAAACAGAAAATTGCCACATGTTGAGTGGTGATACCTGAACTGTGGGCCAAGAGGTAAAGAGGGTGAAGAAGAATTTAGGACAAAGGTAAGAATTGAGTGAGGTGGAAAAGTTCGGGTGGGCTGAAGCATTCTGTTCAGTTCAGCTGCACAATCTCCATAGTTATCTTCCTGCTTTCTTCTATGATATATTGCTATTATTATTATTATCAGAGGGTTACCCTGTTTGTAAGGTGCTTGGTCACCCTATTTTATCACATTCTCTCTCTTTTCTCAGCAAGGACCAATACTAGATTGAAATCCTCAGTAACGCATGCCCAATTTACAACAATTTAATTATCCTGACCCCATCAATTTAGCTGAGTCTACCAAATGCTTATTATCATGATAGTATCAGACATGTACCTTGGGAAGAACTCCCATCTCCATGGATACACAACTAGACACTGAAATCCATGAGTGCATCAAATATTCATGACTGAACGGAAGTAACTAATCAAGAAAATGAAGAATTATTGACTTACGGCCCATCGAATCTGGTGCAAAATCAACTAGAGAACCAAATGGATATCCTTCTCGTCGGTGGTGCATACGAGACATTACAGTGCACAAGTGAGCAAATCTTGCCTTGAATTACAGACCGAAAAGGCAACAGAAAATTAATAAAGGGGATCCGTGATTGTAACTGCGCAAAATTCAGTTCTACACAGCAGAATACACAAATATTCATTTAGCTTTTACCAGAAATAACACAAGCAGCTTACCTGCTCCATCAGGTTACGAACTGCTAAAGCAGGTCTAGGTAAACCGTGAGCCGATGTGGCACTCTGCACGCCACCAGAAATAGGAGTTCTGAAAAGTCCAGCCCTGGTGCCACCACCCGATGCACTTCCACCTCCTCCTGGGGTTGAAACAGTTGTCCATGACATGTTCATTTGTAGAGGCGCATCTTGATCGTCCTCAGAACTCTCAGTCTCAGAATGGCTCAAGTTTTCCTTCATAACAAAATAGAACCCAACAAAGTCAAAATTCAATGATAAGTTATCTGTTGATTATGACGCATAAGATAAAAAAAAAAAAGAAGCAATGACCAATTAACGACCCAATTGAGCATTACTATGGAGTGAAATAAAACAATAAGGAACTAAAAAAGAGGGAAATTCATCACATTCAATTCCTAACCAAATAAACATAGGCCAGCAGTATCATGATCTCATGAGAACAAGTTTATTCAAATTACTAGTAAAAACAAAAAACAATAACAAAACGCGGAATAGAACCGCGAATAGGGTTTTAGCAGGAGAGTCATTTGATAAGAATATTCCAATTTCAAAGCAGAGTTAAAGTACAGATTTTGATTTAAGTGGCGCGTGAGTTAATCAACAAATTAATAAATATGATAAAGAAGAAGAAAAAGTAGCATGGTCGAACCTGAGGCTGAGAAGCTAAAGCGAAATCATTGGTGGCTTCATCGCCACCAGTGTTTGAAACACGAAGAGGGAGAAGATGGGAGTGAGAGTTTTGGGTGATTTTGAAGAAAGAAAGTGGAAGGGTTCTCACAGCAGAGGAAGTAGAAGGAGTGCGAAGAAGGAGCGAAGAAGAATCGGAGATGATGGAGAGTGCTTCCATAGAAGACTTCGTTTCGGGTGGGTTTTGGTTTGGGAAATACTTTGTAAGTACAGAAGTAGAACAAAAATTAGCGTGTACTATGATACAGAGGTTGATGTTGTTGTTGTTGCTGCTGCTGACATATAATATAATATAATATAACATAATATTATAATATCGTTATTTATCTGTTGATTGGTTATTAATTTTGATTTGCTTGGATTAATTATCGGTTGATTAGTGATTCTGATCGGCTTGAGATTGAGATTGAGATTGTTTTGCCAACTGGAATACTACTTCAAATTCTGCGTGCCCAATCCAATACTATTTGATATTTTTAAATATATTTTTTATGATAGCAAACTCTTTTTAACATTTTCTAAAATACTTTTTAACTAATTAAAAATTATAAAAATTTAAAACTTGTGAAAAAGCTTAATATTCACCACGTGTCTTCATAAATTTATTTATGTGTTATCTTATACATCTATCAGTTTTGTAAATATTATTAACTATTGTATTTTAATCAATTTTAAGCAGTTTGTTAATTACATTTTTTTATTTGTTTTAGATTAAATTACTTATCTGATTCTCTTAATTAAAAAAATAGTTTTTATGCTTAAAAACTATTTCTGTTAGGTCCGTAATTCATTTTTTTTTTATTTATTTTAATTCTCGCGAGTTTAGATCTCTATTTGAATAACTATACTGATAAGTCTGGTAGTAAACGGAATATTCAAATAAACCCCAAAATCAAGAACCAAAAAATTGGAAAAACCATCAAAGTTTAATCTAAATCAGTTTATTTAAAAAATATATAATTTATTAATTTAGTTTTTTTCTTAAAATAGTCAAAACTAACCCAAAATTTTTATGTTTTGTTTTTTATTTTGCAAATAAATTTATTATTAATAAATATTATTGAAATTGTAATATAAATATGATAATTTATTTTATTTTAAGATTTATACTATTTAAATTTTAAGAACCTATAAATTTAAATCTTATATTAATTTTTAACATCATAGAATTGTGATTTATATTTTTATAATAATGTTTTAATTCAGTTTTACCTTAATTTAACCATGATTAAACCATTGAACCTTGACTAGAATATAATATCATTTTATGTCTTGAAAATATCATTTAAACTAAAAGAATTTAAAATAGGAAAAATATAATAATGTTTTAATTATGTTTTACCTTAATTTAACCATGATTAAACCATTGAACCTTGACTAGAATATATTATTATTTTATGTTAAACTAAAAGAATTTAAAATAGGAAAAATATTATTTAAACTAAAAGAATTTAAAATAGAAAAAAGATATTTTGACATATATGATATTTTGACATAATATACATGTTATGTTTTCACTAATTATTATTTATTTACTAATGTATCGTTTATTTTAGACCTAATAAAAGTGTGTGAAAATATTATAAAAATATTATGTGTTACATTACCCTTTATAAACCGAGACATCTTCATCTTCTCTTTTCGTTAAGAGATATTATAATAAAGTATTTCTAGTTTACTAAATCTCCTTCCAACATAAGAAAAATTATAACTAGCTCCTTAAGG